TACTTTTTGGTCTATATTCTAAATATTTCTAGTGTTTAAATTTGTTTAGTTCTAATTTTTAAGTAAGCTGCTAAAATGGGAAATAGAATTTTAATTCATTCTCAGTCATCACAATAAGCAGGTTAACTAAGTACTAAGTTATCTGGGGCATTTTCAGTTTTCGAGGAGCAATAGACAATTAGAATTTAAATAATCATAAGTATATTTGGGGTTATTTTTGATTTTTTTCCTTTTTAAAGCATATTACTACTAATACTTTTGCAAGTTAGAGATGTATCTTCTATTATAGTAATAGATATTGATGAAGTAGACCCAAAAGGACTTGGTGATAAAAATGGGGTGTCAGTGTCATTCATTGAGAAAGGGAGTTCAAAAGAAAGCAGGTTGGGGTAAGACGGGTTTATATAAATTATTAGCATGTTAAATTTGAGGTGCTTATAGAATTTTTAAGTGAAACCATTTAGTACCTGTTGAGTCTGGAACCCCAAAAGATGTTAAGGTTGGAGAGTTAGGAATTGTTGATATATGAGAGGTAGTTGAAGACACAGATCTTGATGAGGTTACCCAAATACATAGAGGGAGAAGATGCCCAGAGATGAAACCCTGAGGATCAACAGCATTTAAGAGACAGGCAAAGGAAGGGATCTAGTGAAGGAGACAGTGGTCAGAGAGAAAGCCAGACCATCAGGAGAGACTGGAGTCATGGAAGCCAGTAGGGTAGAGAACATCTAGAAGGAGGGAGGAGTAAATCATGTCAGATGCCATAGAGATTGAATAAGTTGAGTATGGTCTAGTATCCATTGGATCACTAATTAGAAATTCATGGATTGTCTGGAAGAAAATAGTTGAAGACTGGTGGGACCAGATGCTGTATCTCACTTCTTTTGTTTTTTGTTTTTTTTTTTGAGACAGAGTCTCTATTGCCTGGGCTAGAGTGCCGTGACATCAGCCTAGCTCACAGCAACCTCAGACTCCTGGGCTCAAGCAATCTTTCTGCCTCAGCCTCCCAAGTAGCTGGAACTACAGGCACATGCCACCATGCCCAGCTAATTTTTTCTATATATTTTTAGTTGTCCAGCTAATTTCTCTCTATATTTAGTAGAGATGGGGTCTCGCTCTTGCTCAGGCTGGTCTTGAACTCCTGAGCTCAAACAATCCGCCCTCCTCAGCCTCCCAGAGTGCTAGGATTACAGGTGTGAGCCACCGCCCCTGGCCTGTATCTCACTTCTCTACCCACTGCGTTGATTGGTGAAGTAGTGGAGACAGCAAAGGAAGACTATTCTTTTTCAAGAAAGTGAGCTTTAAAGGAAAATAGAGTGGATACAAGCTTGAGGGAGATATGGAAAAGAAAAAATTTTTTAAGGGAAGATACTTGAGAGAAGTAGATGCAGGTTAAGTGCTCAGGAAGGAGGGCAGGGAGTTCAGAGACATCCTCCCTAGGAAGTTGTTGGCAGCCCATGGTGAGCATTGAGCTGGTAGGCTGGAGGATTGAAAGAGAATTGCCACTGAGAGGAGTTGGCCAGGGACATCAGAGTTTTGTGTTTTGTTGTTTTGGTTCTTTTCTGAATAGCACTACAGCTCAGCTCAGCTTTGGAAACTGAATTTGGACTATAGTCCTATACTTTTATGGTAGCAGGTTTCTGCAGTCTAGCTGTAGGAGGGAAAACACATGGTCAGTTTGAGTTTTATTTAATGGACAAAGCAGTAGAATAAAATGGCTGTAATTTGGGCTTGATTTGCAGGCACTAGGGTCCAGCTCCACAGGTAAGGTCTTAAAACATGCTGCAGCCTTTGTCCATTTTGGTTCACTGCCAAACCGTCACTGTGTGTCTTCAGTGTCTGGAGCTGTTCCTGGCACGGTTAAGTGCTTAGTGAATGTTTTCTGAAGCAGTACTTTTTTACAGAGGCCAGGTTGCTCCAAAGCCTGGTCTCAGCCTGCCTTTACCACATAACTAGTAGCTATGAGACTATGGGCACATTGTTTAATATCTGTAAGCCTTGGTTTCTTCATGTGTAAAGTGGAAACTGTTCAAAATGGTAATAAGAGTATGTACGAAGCACTTAGAATTATATTTGGGATGTGCTAATTCTAGATAAACATTAGCTACTGTTACATGTTCTGCTTCCTTTATTCCCTTACCACTTATTCTTGTATGGTCTAACTTTGCCTGGCATAGTGTTTAACACATAGTAAACATTCAGTAAATATCCGCTGAGTGAACATAAGGCTCTGTTTTTACTATGATTTATTCAACAAATGTTTGTGTGTCAGTCATGTGTGAGGCTAGATGCATGGTGATTTAAAATACCGTTTCTTGCCTTACAGAGCATGGTGATTTAAAATACTGTTTCTTGCCTTACAGAGCTAGTTTTCAAGATAGACATTAACCAAATAATCTAGTAAATGAAAACTGAAATTGAAAAGTGCTGTGAAAGAGAGTGATACAATTCCGTGAGAGCCCATGCTGGAGGAATTTGTCCTTTTTAGGGAGGTGAAGTAAGGCTTTGCTGAGGGATTGGTGTGTAAGGTGGTATCTGCAGGTTAAGTAGTGGTTAAGGAGGTGAAGAGGAGATACCATCTACAAAGGTCCTGTGGTAGGGACACCTGCATGGTGAGTGTCCAGAGTGGTTGGGGAGTAGAGGATAGTGGGAGCATGGTGTGAGATCGGGTTGGAAAGGTGAATGGTGTTAAGATTGAAAAAATATTGGCAAATAGAGTAGATGCTGCTAGACCAATTAGGGGACTATTATATTAGTTCAGGCAAGAGATAATGATAGTGTAGACTGATTGGGGACAGGTGTTAGTGATGGCGGTGAGAAGAGTGTTATGATTCTGAGATATGTGGGAGGTACTGTTGTGGATAGGTGGGGTGGGGACAGAAGAACAGAAAGATCATGAATTTAACTTTGGATATGTTAAGTTTGCTTTGCCGTGAAGACAACCAAGAGGCAATATCGGGCTGGCAATTGGATGTATGAGCATGGAACATAGAAGAGACTGGGAATAAATTTGAGTTGGTGGTAATTTGAAGCAATGCAGACAGACAGAATCTTGAGAAAGTATGTGACGTAAGAAGAGAAAGGGCCTGGAATCAAGTCTCTAGTAACTAATATTTCATGAACGGATAGAGGAGGCTGCACACCCAAGAGAGACAGAAGACAGGTCCAACAGAGAGGCAGAAGGGAAACCAAGTGCTGTGTCACAGAAGAGAAGGCAGGAGCCAGGCAGCAGTGTGCAGTGCTGTGGAGAGGGCAGCAAACACCATGGGACTGGGCAAGGGCAGGTCTTCGGTGGCCTTCCTGAGAACTGTGGTGATAACTGATGAGGTGGCTGCCAACTGGAGTGGATTGAGGACTTGGTAGGAGGTAAGGTGCTGAGAGCACAAGCATGTGCACAACTCTCCAGGAAGTTCACGTCTCTAGATCTCTCCTAACGGGTATAGAACTACATATAGGCTGGGCGCGGTGGCTCACACCTGTAATCCTAGCACTCTGGGAGGCCGAGGCGGGTGGATTGCTCAAGGTCAGGAGTTCGAGACTAGCCTAAGCAAGAGCGAGACCCCCGTCTCTACTAAAAATAGAAAGAAATTATCTGGACAACTAAAAATATATATATAGAAAAAATTAGCCGGGCATGGTGGC